ACTTAAAAACAAACTCAAATTTGCTATGCCAAAAGCAGTATTCATTAGCCAATTTTGAATTTCAAATCCTGACTTGTAACAGGAAATTGAGAGAAATATATGTTTTAATAAATGTAATCACTAAAATTGTTTGAGAAATATTGCTTCTGATTATCAAGGTGTTGCTTTGTTGTACATAACGAATGTTCAATCCAGCCCCAATTCTCCCACCTCAGGAAAGGATATGGAAGAGCTACAGCAGATACAGAGAAGGGCAATAAAGATGATCAAAGGTATGAATGACTTCCAGGTGAAGCACAATTACACAGGCTAGGAAACTTCAGCTTAGAAAACAGGCAGTTGAGGGGATATATGATAAAGTCATAGAAAATGGGGAGTGGCATGGGAAGGGTAAATAGACATCACTTGCTTATTATGTCTCTCAATAGCAGAAGTAGTGACATCAAATTAACCTATAGGTCGTTAGTTCAAGAAAACCAAAATGAGGTGTTTTTTCATACAGCATGTATTAAGGTTCAGCACTACTTGTGAAAGGGTTTTTTGGAAGTTGAGGCCTGTACAGGTTGAAGGGCAAACTGGAGAAGTTCATGGTAGAAAAAATCTGTAGGGTCACAGAATACACAGTGCTCATGAACTCCCCACATTGCAAGTAATTGGTCTGTTGCAATACCTGGAAGAAATAGCACTACTCACTTGCAGTTTTTGTAATTTTTCACTTGGTATTCTGTTTTATCCATCAACTTGGCCTGGTTCAGCACAGTTATTCTTATTTTGTTTATTAACTGATCATTGTGAATATACCATATACATATCAGGTACTTTTTGGGTACATGACCAAGAACTAAAAACTTGATTCTCAAGATTAGCTTCCAAAGAACATCACAGAAAATCTGATTGTATAAATAAAATCCAAAAGAATATAGTGTGAACTGCATTTGAAAATGAAAGAACACTTAAAATATGAGGCCAAATATTTGCAGCTTAAATATAATTTTATATTTTTAACAAGTCTTCCATCATGATATAAACATTTAAGAGATTTTAACATTGCTATGAAAATACATTATCTTTCAACATCAATGAAATCAAGTGTCAAAATATATTTTTAAAAGTCATTATCTGCTTATAGCCAAATACTTATCTATTTAAAACTGAGAGGTAATGGACAAAGAATGTAGTAAGGACTGGGCAAGCAGACATTTATAGGTTAAAGAATCTGAGCTGTAATACAGGTAGTCTAGCCAATTTCTGTATAGACCTCTTTTATGTTTATCACCTGCTTAAAAATCTATTGATATCTGCAATTTACTGGGATCTGAATACTGAAATATGACAGTTCAGTATGTTTTTTACTTGACAGTTTTACGATACAAAATTCAAAATTTGAGTGTGCCATTGACTGTTTGTCACTGAACTGGAGAGATGTGGATTGGATGGATGGACCACTCAGTGGGATTGGCTGGATGGTTGCACTCAAGGAGTTGTGGTCAACAACTCGAAGCCCAGCTGGAGATCCGACTTGAGTGGCGTTCCTCAGGGGTCAGTATTGGGACTAGTGCTGTTTAACATCTTTGTCAGTGACATGGGCAGTGGGATTGAGTGCACCCTCAGCAAGTTTACTGACAACACCAAGCTGTGTGGTGTGATCAGAATGCTGGAGGGAAGGGATGTTATCCAGAGGGACCTTGATAGGCTTGAGAGGTGGGCCTGTGCAAACTTCATGAAGTTCAAAAAGGCCAATTTTAAGGTCCTGCACCTGGGTTAGGGCAATCCCAAGAACAAACACTGGTTGGGCAGATAATGGATTGAGAGCACCCCTGCCAAAAAGGACCTGAGAATGTTGGCTGATGACAAGCTCAACACGGGCCAGTAACGTGTGCTTGCAGCTGAGAAGGCCAACCACAACTTGGACTGCATCAAAAGCAGCATGGCCAGCCAGGTCAAAAGAGGTGATTCTCTCCCTCTGCTCTGCTCTTGTGAGACCCTACCTGGAGTACTGCATCTGGCTCTGGGGTCCCCAACATAGGAAGGACACGGACCTGTTGGAACAAATCCAGAGGAGGGTCACGAAGATGATCAGAGGTCTGGAACATCTCCTGAGAAGACAGGCTGAGAGAGTTGGGGGTCATTATGCCTGGGGAAGAGAAGGCACCAGGAAGACCTTATAGCAGCCTTCCAGTACCTTAACAGGGCTTACAAGAGAGCTGGAAGGGACTTTTTATAAGGGTGTGGTGATAGGACAAGGGGAATGGCTTTAAACTGAAAAAGCTGGTAGGTTTAGACTAGACATAAGGAAGAAATTCATTACTGTGAGGGTGGTGAGGCACTGGACAGGTTTCCACCACTTTGCTATTCATTCAACAATTCTCTTCCAAGCACTTTTCCTGTCATCAGGCCACATAGTATGTGTCCCCAAATGACCTAGTAGGAAGTGTTAAACAAATCTGTCTGGACTAATCAGAGACTCCTGACTACTCCAGAGGGCAGTATGTGGGACAAAATGGAGGATCAACCTTCTGGGGAGATGCTGGATGGTTAGGACGGTTCACTGCCCAAAGAAACACTTTGGACAGAGTCACTGCCCTAATGGGTTTTTTCTTTTCTAGTATTTTGCTCATACTATCCAACTATTAAGAACGCACAAGTTAAGACCCAGACTGTTTACAATAGAATAGCATAAATTAAGAAACAGAATCAAAAAGTAACAGCAAAATTCAGAGTATGTTTTTTTTGGAAGGTTGTAACCTACTTCAACTTCTATGCAGAAAAAAGCTTTTATATAAGTAACTCTCAATATAGCATAAAACACAAAAATGCATTAAAAAAAATCTTTGAGGTACAGGAGCTTTGTTTTGCTATTAATACATGTAATCAGCACTAGTTTTACTTTCTGTTTCAGTCCTAGATTGAATGTCCTGTGCAGCTCAGAAAACAACCTATATTTTAGCCTCACCAATAATACCTTGTAAGTGACACATAGTGACAGATTAATGCAACAGTTCTGCTTGATGGGGTTATTCCACTCCCTGCAAAAAAGAATGTGGAAATTTAAAACCCCTAATTAACAACATTTTCTAATGGATTTTTTTTTTTTAATATTACCTCACCATTTTCTGTGATCTTTCATCATGTCAAAATTGAAGGCAATAAAACAATGGACCAGCTGTAATACAATATAAACTGTCAAGCAATAAAAACTGCTGTCATCAAAATAAAATCCAGCAAAAGTGGTTCCCTATTTTGTGTTAAGTATATTAACCATCACAAAAAGAAAAATCTCCTACTAAAATTTATAAGATGAAAACACTTTTTCAATCAAGAAGGATATTCCATTATTCTTAAAATGTCCCAGAGCAGTGAAAGCGCTGGTTTATAAGAAATAGGGACTTTTGGGATAGGGGAAAAGTGAAGATGAAAGAATCATCTGATGGGCCTTTGTCTCTGCAGGGGGAAGTTTGGAGGAAAAGATTAAGAGGTCATTCCAGTAACAACTGTCATGAAGAGATAAAATAATCATTCAGATGACAGGTGATTAAGTGAAACAGAGGAAACTGAAGTCAGAGAAACCCTGCAGAGAGACTTTGATAAATTAGAGTGCTGGGCAATCACCAGCGTAAGAAGTTTAACAAAGGCAAGTGCCAAATTCTTCACCTGGAATGAGGCAACCCTGGACTGGGGAGCGAGAGGCTGGAAAGCAGTGCTGAAGAAAAAGACCTGAGAGTCCTGGTTGGTGGCAAGTTAAATATGAGTCAGCAGTGCCCTGGCAGCCAGGAGACCCAGCTGCCCCAGTGTCCTGGGGGGCATCAGGCAAAGCATCACCAGCCAGATGAGGGAGGGGATTGTCCCGCTCTGCTCTGCACTGGGGCAGCCTCACCTGGAATATTGTGTGCAGTTTTGGGCACCACAGTGTAAGAAAGATAGAAAGCTATTAGAGAGTGTCCAAAGGAGGGAAATGAAGATGGTGAAGGGCTTTGAGGGGAAGCCATGTGAGGAGTGGCTGAGGTCACTTGGTCTATTCAGCCTGGAGGAGACTGAGGGGAGAACTCAATGCAGTCCACAACTTCCTTATGAGGGAAGAGGAGGGGCAGGCACTGATCTCTTCTCTGTGGTGACCAGCAACAGGACCCGAGGGAATGGCCTGAAACTGTGTCAGGGGAGATTTATGTCAGATGTTAGAGAAAGGTTCTTCACCCAGAGCATGGTTGAGCATGGAACAGGCTCCCAGGCAAGTGGTCACAGCACAGAATCTGACAGAGTTCAAGAATCATTTGGACTATGCTCTCAGGCACATGGTGTGACTCTTGGGAATGGTCCTGTGCAGAGCTAAGGGTTGGACTTTATGATCCTTGTGGGTCCTTTCCAACTCAGAATATTCTGTGAATCTGTGATTCTGTGAAATGTGTGGAGAAACGGAGGTCTAGGGGACCAGACCTGCAAATGGATGGATGAGTCACGGTAGCACTGAAGGAGCCCGAGTTTAACACACTATATAAATGGGAACCATAAAAAAAAAAAAAAAAAAAAAGAGCAAGAATGATTCAGGAAGATGATTTTGAAAAGTAGGGAAATAGTTGACCAAACCTTCCTGAAAGCTTGAAAAGGAAATAAATGTGGCTGACTGTACAAGAAGCTAAACAAGGATGAAAATTCCCCCTCCCTTTCAGTGTCAGTTAATATTGAGTAAAGGAACAGAAAAATCTAAAACAAAGTGGTTTTGATTGGAAGATAAGCCAGATCACTGAACTTCTGTTTTAGGATCTCTGAAATAACTTCACACCATGGAAGCTAGACGTGAAAAATCTCTGTCTATGTTGCCTTCTGGTCAGTTTGATGAATCTCATAGTTTTCAGACTTTATGTAATTTCCAGCACAAAGGTGAATTCTGTAGGTCTGCTACTCCAGACCAATCAAGTTCTCAGGATATAACACATTTACCAAGTCAGCCTCACTGAAATCAGAAACATTTATTTACTTAAGAGTTTATGATTTCTTCTAGGGAGCCCCTGATGGTCTAGTGGTTAAGGACGCGGTGCCATCACCACCGAGGCCCGGGTTCGATTCCTGGTCAGGGCCACTCCCCGGGCAGATGGAGCTCGTTAGCCCTGTAAGGCAATCCATCTACGTCCTGAGGACCTTGCTGCCACCGTCCAAGCGTGCTTGGCCCCGGCAGATGAACCTCAGGATTAAAGGGTGGGCTCAGTTCCACGCACACTGTGTCTCACCTAAAAAATCCAATGCGCAGGCTGGAAGGTGTAAAGACCTTCCCCGGATCTTCATTCGCGAAGACTGGCCATTATTATACTTATTATTATGATTTCTTCAGTTCAAACGTCTATTTACCCTCCCAGTCAGAAACCACTATTATAGAGAAAAATCAAATTTAAAAAAATGCTTGTATATCCCAAATCTTGCTTTTCCCTCTTGTTAGCTCAGGAGGACTGAAATTCTTCAAGGACTATCATGCCTATCTATGTGACAGAAATCCTCTGAGAGACACCTTCTTCTCACCTGGAAAGACAGTCTCCCTTTAAAGATCACTATTTTATATCAGTGGTCAAGGACACTTTTCTGGCTTTGTCTTGTAAAAAGCTTCAGCTATTCGTGAAGAAACTATTTAATATTAAGAATCAAAAAGCCATTCTTTTTCCTTCTTGTTTGTATTTCTTTACAATGCTGTATTACAATGAATCAATATCCTAGTACAAAAATATTCTAACTGCTAGGCAAACACCATTCCCACAAATTGCATCAGAAATTCTAGGGTCGTGTAATACAGACTCGAATTACATCTTGCTACAGTATTAGAAGAGATTTATTACAATAACTGAAGGAGAGGAACTTGTGCACGTTCCATTCAAAGTGCATTATTTTGCCATGGATTAAAGCAATGTAAACAAAGAAGGGATCAGTGTTCTCCATGGTCACTTAGGTTATAATTAAAGGACAGCAAACAACACATCTAATTATTAGGAGATAGGAACTTGATAACTTTGGAGAAAGGACACCTCTGACGTTTTGCTTACAACAACAAGGAGGTGGACTCAGTGAACTTGTAAAAGTATTTTATAGCCTTATATTATGAATGTCAACTCTGGGCTGATTGTTTTATCACTGTTTAGTCAGACTGGAGACAATGAGGACAAAGATTTGCTTGAATTTGTCAGTCGTTTGAATGTCAAGCAGATTTTGAATGCTTATTAAAACCTTGTCACTCTATGGCTCTTACAAAAATAATTAAATATTTTAATCGGGTTATTTAATAATTGAAAATATATATCACTGTTACACTGAATTACCTTAAATTCATTATGAGCAGCTTTTCAGCCTAGAATGGATTGACTGGGAAGGGATCTTAGAGATTATCTAGTTCTAACCCTCATGGCCAAGGGTAGGGACCCCTTTCAGTAGACCAGGCTGCTCAAAGCCCCATCTAACCTGGCCTTGAACACTTCTGGCCACAGGGCATTCACAACCTTTCTGGGTCAATGCTGAGCTTCTTGTCCATCAGCACCCGCCAAGTCCTTCCCTTCGGGGTTGCTCTCAATCCATCTTCTGCCCTGTCTGTATTTGTGCTTGGGATTGCCCTGACCCAGGCGCAGGATCTTAACATTGAAATTGGCCTTGAACTTCATGAGTTTCACATGGGCCCACTCCTCAGGCTTTTCAAGGTCCGTCTAGGTGGCGTCCCTTCCCTTCAGCACCTTGACCACACCATGCAGCTTGATATGGCTGGCAATCTTGCTGAGGATGCGCTCAATCCCACTGTTTGTGTCACCAACAAAGATGTTAAACAGTGCCAATCCCAACATCAACTCTGACTGATATTCCCTGAGGAATGCCATTTGTCACTGGTCTCCATATCTAGCCATTGACCCAATTATTGATAATTGCCAGGCCTACTGATGCATTTTTTTAAAACAAAAGTTGGTTGTAAAGTTTGCATGATCTTAAACCTTCATTTATTATGCATGGAAGAAGTGCAGCTGCTGAGTCAAACTAGTGACAGGAGAGAGCTAATTGTTGGTAGTTAGTGTAGGATGGTTTACAGGATTAAGGTTCCTATTTTAAGCATTTTAAAATGAAAAAAAAAAGAAGAAGTATTAGGTAATTTAAAAATCACTCCTAATCACGATCTGTCTCTGAGCCATCATTACATAGTCTTGCAAACCAATAAAATATTCAAGCCAGCAAAGCCCTGGATACATCACTGGATACACAAATTGAATATACTTTATTGACATTGGTCAGTGAATGTGTTTCATGGAGCAAGATTGAAAAATGACAGCATCAGTGATGGAAGGAAGGAAGTGCTGCATGAAGTGGTGGTTAGTGCAGCTTTCTACAGTTAGTTTAAAAATCCTGCTGCAATGAAAGAGGCAGATAGAGCATTTCTGTTGAGTAACACCCCAGGCACAGCACCACTTAATTCAGAGATGTGCAGACAATAAATGTTAGATGAAGAATCATATTTGATGGGGAGCATTTGCCTTCTGTAGTTTACTGGTGTACAGCATCAATGTAATGACTAGACAGAAACCAGCTCCCAAATTTCATTGTCAACAAAGAAAAAAAGCTGTAGGACCTTGTTTCTGCTTTCACAATCATATGAACTTCAGAGCTGAGCAGTCTGGTATGCAAGGAGCCTCACCGTGGCAGGTTTACATACACTTTTTTCATTTTTGTTTCTGTCTACATTAGTTAATTTGTATGAATAAATGCAGAATTTTATTTGCTACTATTAGCTCTCTGTCACTAAGAACTATCTACATTATTTTAAAACTTTCAGACAGGATATATATTTTAAGCAAATGACAAAACATTTACCCCAGGCACTAAAGAGGTACATTAAGCCTCAGTGATGTAGACTTGTCTCACATTTCGATTAAGAATAACAATATGTAATCTTTGGAGAATAAAAAATATGCCTTTGAAAGTAATAAAATTACTGGTTGGAATAGCTACTAGAATATGTCTAGTAATCTTTGATTCCCATTGATATTATTGGTGGGTTTTTTGTATTACAGAAACACCAATAATGCAGAAAATGCTATAACACCATAGCAATCTAATACCTCCACTGAAAAGCTCTGGAGCATGTTTCTAATCAAAGCTGAAGGAGTGAGATGGTCAGAGACAAACATGCAATTTCTTCAGACTGTTATTTTCTCTGAAAAAATATGCTTATTATATCTAACTTAAGTAGGAGGGCATAAATTACATTGTCAAGGAACATGAGAAAAAAATATAGATCTCAGAGAGTTTCTGGCTTTTAACTTGTTGCTTTGAAAAGGGAAAATGCAAATGAATCAAGTTTCATCTTGTACAGAAGAGAAGGCCCTTCAAGCCATCTCAAAGAGTAGGAGGTGTTGACAAGTGATATCTGCAAGAGTGTTACTGGGAGAACTTGTATTGCTATTTCATTTGGACAGTGATAGGGAAATATAATCTTCTACATTATTATTAATTAGACTAATTCAGAGTATTAGTACCAACCAAAAGTAACTGTTGCAATTGTTAAAAATAATCAAGTTCTGTTTTCTGATTATCCAAACATTTTTGTGTTTATTACATAAGGAAGTCAAGAAAAAGGTAACCCCTTATGTCGCAACGTCACATGTTAATGCGCAAGCATATAAACCAAATATCAGACACAGTATGTGCAAATGACAGACATCTAATTTGTATTGACAGTTATCACAATTATTTGCACAAATTGAATAATGTCACATACATATGTATAATTAGAAACATTCAATAACCGAATTGTTTCCAGATTGAAGTGTGCATTTTCCACGTACAATACCACATCTCAACAATTTGTTATTTTCCAGATAATTTCATGCTTTAGATATCAAAAATAAGCATTTTCTTTCTCCAAATAATACCCAGAGGTACATTTCTAAAGACACAAAAACACCTGTTGTTTTGTTCTGTCTGTACATCAGCTAGAGGAAAGTCATTGTTCTATCTTCTATCTTCTCTCTTAATATAAACTATATATATAATTACTGTACTTAAAATACTGTAAATATTCTTTCTTGCACTCTACAATCATCAAATCCCAGATACATAAAGTTTTCCTCTTACAGTGGAAACAACATACAATTAGGCTATGCCCAGAGTAACTCTTAAAAAGAATTTAAACCGATGATGGAAATTAATCTTTTTATGAAACCATCATAGGTAGTATGGCAGTAATACTGAGGATGTGAAAGAAACCACAGAAAACAAAGAAGAGGCACTGGGTGAAGTTGCAGCCACTCGCTGGATCAAAGTCCCTCTTCTGCCCCTGGCTGCGATCCAGGAGAAGGGTGGAAGGGAGTGAGTGCTCCATCCAAGGCCACGCCAGCTCCCTAGCAAGTCATGGCGTCTCTCCATGCAGGCATGACATCACCTACAAAATCAGACTTGGCCTCACCCTGCCTGAAAGCAACTCTCTGCCCAAGCTAGGAGTATCTAAGTTAACTTCTAAACTCAGTACCAAGCCCATTTTTAATTGGCAAGTTAATCGTGTGAAAATGCTGACTGAATGTCAGTCGTAAGTACCAGCCTTTTAGTTAAGCACATTTGTAGGTGGGGCATATATGAGCATGCAAAAGCCTCAGGATAAGTTGGAAATTGAGCTCTGGCAGCCACATTGTACCCAGATTGCAGCTCATAGGAGATGTCCACCAAAGCTACATAAACTTTGCAAACTCTGTACAGTCTGGTAAATCCCATGAAATAAAGCATTAGACAAACTTGACTTTCTCTTGATATTTGCATGTTGAATCCACTTTTGTGCTTTTCATAATATTCTTAACATCTTTATAGGACTGTAATTAGGTTGGATTGAAATCTGAATTACAAATTGAATAAAATTCTAAATTCCAAGTAATTTCAAACTAAAATCTGAAATAAAGTCAATAAAGCAAATTCTCCACATCTTCACATTTAGGTCATAGACATGTCTTTGAAGTCAGTTGTGTTACAATCCTCTAAAACAGTGTTACTGGCCTAATTCTAATTTAAAATCCAGTTTTATGACATTCCATTCATTTCCATGATGTTTGCTTCTCATTTGTAAAATGAGA